GAGGTGAAGGATGCATGCGGGGGGGGAGAGGGAGAGCTGTGTCCCCTGCCCCTCCACCATGCCCTTCCCTGCCCCGCCCTGCCCAGGCCACCTGCTCCAGCCCCCGACACCCCTCCAGACCTGGCATCCCGTGTAGCCCTGCTTGTGCCCCTCATCCCAGGCTATGGCTGACTCTGCTCCCTGCTCACCATCGCTCCTGCCCTCCCACAGGGTGCAGCAGACATGGACCAGGCTGGGTGTCCCCTGGCCCCCCCTGATGGAGATACTGCTGCAGGTGTCCCCAAGGGAATGGGTGGGCTGGATTGGCACAGGGATGAGGGGGACACAGCTGGCTCCAAAAGCAGGTTGGGCACTTCAGGGGCACCATGTCACGCTGCACAGGGCATGCAGGGGGGATGGCCAGTCACCCAGAGCTGAGGGCACAGGCCACAGCACCCTGGGGTGCCCACCCTGCCTCGAGACCAGGGCAGCAAAACAGGCCAAAAGCTACCCCTCTGCAGGCACATGGTCCAGCCAGCAGCCCACAGCCAAGGCACCAGGGCAGTGGGGTTGGGGCCCAGCCCCAGCCCCTATACACCTGCTCCATCCTTCACAGCAGGCTGGCAGCCCTGGTGGTCTGCAGCCTTCCTGAGGGGCAGAGGGGCTGGGCCCTGGCTGCTCAGGGAGGTGTCAGGGCTGCAGCCAGAGAGAGAAGGCACCATGGCTACCATACCCCAGGGCACTTGGGTAGAGAGCAGGAGGCCTGTCCCCCTCGCTGGCAGGGGTCCAGAAAGGGGGCTTAGTGAGGACCCCCAGTCCCACCAAGGCTGAGCAGCTGCCAAGTGGAGGGCAGGGGATCCACCCAGCAGTGCTTCATCCCTGTTCCAGGGACTGCAGGGCCAGCCAGTGCTGAGTGTGGGGGTCCTCACTGCAGTGGAAGTGAGGCGAGGGGCACCATCACGCTGACAGGTTGTGGGCAGACTTGGAGGCACCCTGGGCCCTCTGGATGATGGCCGGGCACTTCTCCCGCCGCAGCAGCTTGTTGTTCTCGAAGAAGCCCTCGTTGCGGGGCACCCCGTGGGAGCCATCAGGGAAGGTCAAGAGACCTGGGGAGGGAAGGGCTGGAAGTGAGGGGAGCAGCAGGAGCAGCACAGCTGGAGAGACAGAGTAGGACAAGCCAGCCAGGGCCACGCCAGACTGGGGCTTTGGCTGTCACACTGTGCTGCTGGGCACTCACCAAAGCCATACACACGCCCGCCTTTGAATTCACCCTCAAAGGTCATGTTGTCACAGCGGGTGAACACGCCAACACCATTGAACTTGCCCTGCACAAACTCCCCCTCGTACCTGTGTGGGGAGAGGTCCTGAGGCAGCAGCTCCCCACAGCAAGGGGGATGCCCGGGGGGTATACATGGGGCTGCCATGCTCACCTGGAGCCATCTGAGAAGGTGAGCACACCGCAACCATGGAAGAGCCCATTCTCAAAGTGCCCCACATAAGTGGTGCCATCAGCAAACGTCAGCTGCCCAATGCCATGCCTGCGACCTACTCAAGGACAGAAACAGGTAGTGCTGGATGAAGGGAGGCAGGACCTGCCCCAGGTAGGTGCTGGGCAGATGCAGGGTCTGCCCAACCCCAGAGCAGGCAGCAGCATCCCCTCCCGCCCCATCTCACCTTCCTTCCACTCGCCGCGGTACTCCTCGCCGTTGGAGTAGGTGAAGGAGCCTTTGGTGAGGGTCATGACGACAGATTCCAGCAGTGCAGGGCAAAAGCTGATAGGGAGAGGCGCAGAAGGTGGCTGCTGGGTGTGGGAATACAGACCAGCTCACCCAGAGCCCCCACAGCCCCTCGGCTCAGGCAGAGATCTGCACCTGCCCTGGGGACGGCTCTGCTGGGGCACGCCACAGATGAGGAGGTGACCCCAGGAGCTGGGCCACCCTGCCCTGCCTCTGAAACCCCAGCCGCCAGGTTCGGGTTGCTGCATACCCAGCTGCAGGGCTCGGGACGATGTGAGCCCGTGGGGGTCAGAGCCCCGTGAAACGTGAGCAAGCAGCAGCAGAAGAGGAGCGTGGCAGGAGTTGGCTGGATCCTGAGGCCTGCACCATAGCAGGCTCAGGGCGGCTCGGGTAGGGGCCAGGCCTGCAGCCAGAGAGAGAAGGCACCATGGCTACCATACCCCAGGGCACTTGGGTAGAGAGCAGGAGGCCTGTCCCCCTCGCTGGCAGGGGTCCAGAAAGGGGGCTTAGTGAGGACCCCCAGTCCCACCAAGGCTGAGCAGCTGCCAAGTGGAGGGCAGGGGATCCACCCAGCAGTGCTTCATCCCTGTTCCAGGGACTGCAGGGCCAGCCAGTGCTGAGTGTGGGGGTCCTCACTGCAGTGGAAGTGAGGCGAGGGGCACCATCACGCTGACAGGTTGTGGGCAGACTTGGAGGCACCCTGGGCCCTCTGGATGATGGCCGGGCACTTCTCCCGCCGCAGCAGCTTGTTGTTCTCGAAGAAGCCCTCGTTGCGGGGCACCCCGTGGGAGCCATCAGGGAAGGTCAAGAGACCTGGGGAGGGAAGGGCTGGAAGTGAGGGGAGCAGCAGGAGCAGCACAGCTGGAGAGACAGAGTAGGACAAGCCAGCCAGGGCCACGCCAGACTGGGGCTTTGGCTGTCACACTGTGCTGCTGGGCACTCACCAAAGCCATACACACGCCCGCCTTTGAATTCACCCTCAAAGGTCATGTTGTCACAGCGGGTGAACACGCCAACACCATTGAACTTGCCCTGCACAAACTCCCCCTCGTACCTGTGTGGGGAGAGGTCCTGAGGCAGCAGCTCCCCACAGCAAGGGGGATGCCCGGGGGGTATACATGGGGCTGCCATGCTCACCTGGAGCCATCTGAGAAGGTGAGCACACCGCAACCATGGAAGAGCCCATTCTCAAAGTGCCCCACATAAGTGGTGCCATCAGCAAACGTCAGCTGCCCAATGCCATGCCTGCGACCTACTCAAGGACAGAAACAGGTAGTGCTGGGTGGAGGGAGGCAGGACCTGCCCCAGGTAGGTGCTGGGCAGATGCAGGGTCTGCCCAACCCCAGAGTAGGCAGCAGCATCCCCTCCCACCCCATCTCACCTTCCTTCCACTCGCCGCGGTACTCCTCGCCGTTGGAGTAGGTGAAGGAGCCTTTGGTGAGGGTCATGACGACAGATTCCAGCAGTGCAGGGCAAAACCCAGAGCAGGCAGCAGCATCCCCTCCCACCCCATCTCACCTTCCTTCCACTCGCCGCGGTACTCCTCGCCGTTGGAGTAGGTGAAGGAGCCTTTGGTGAGGGTCATGACGACAGATTCCAGCAGTGCAGGGCAAAAGCTGGCAGGGAGAGGCGCAGAAGGTGGCTGCTGGGTGTGGGAATACAGACCAGCTCACCCAGAGCCCCCACAGCCCCTCGGCTCAGGCAGAGATCTGCACCTGCCCTGGGGACGGCTCTGCTGGGGCACGCCACAGATGAGGAGGTGACCCCAGGAGCTGGGCCACCCTGCCCTGCCTCTGAAACCCCAGCCGCCAGGTTCGGGTTGCTGCATACCCAGCTGCAGGGCTCGGGACGATGTGAGCCCGTGGGGGTCAGAGCCCCGTGAAACGTGAGCAAGCAGCAGCAGAAGAGGAGCGTGGCAGGAGTTGGCTGGATCCTGAGGCCTGCACCATAGCAGGCTCAGGCTGGGGAAGGCCCTGAAGGAAACAGGCTCAGTGCTGGCTCTTCAGAGGAGGGAGCAAAGTGGCTGTGGGGTTCCCAGTTCGGTGTGGAGGCTGGGTAGACCTGGCTCACCCCCTGGGGATGGAGTGGTTGCTTCCCCTAAGAGGGACAGTAGAGAGGGGACCCTCGGGCTCCAGGGCCTTGGCTACTGAGGGTTTGCAAACCTGCCTGATCACAGCAAGCAGCCCCCCGGCACGCCCCCAGAGCCACTGCCGTGCCACACAGCCCTCCCCAGCACCAGGGGAAGGCACCAGCATGGAGACAGCCCTGCAGGTGGGCTGGGTGCTGCCTCTCCAGTGGCTCCCCCAGGGGCTCAGGCAATGCCTATGATGAGAAGGGACTGCCCTCCCCGTTTCCCAAGAGGGATGCCTGCTTGCACCAGGCTTCGCATCCTTGGAGAGACAGGTGCTGGCACAGCTAACTGGGCAGATGCGCACCCGGGAGTACAGCAGGGAACTTGCAAGGGCTTTGTCTCCAGAGGAGAAATGGCCCCGCGC